CCAATAATTATTGCATTGAAAATAGTTTGCATTTTGTTTGTGTTTGTTATCAAATTATGAATTTCAAGAACTTTTCGTTTTCATTAAAATTGAAAACAAATGTTGAGTTATATTAAGAAAAATTATGACAAACAATGCATTTATATAAAATTATAATGTAGATATCCTTAATATCCCATACATAACAAATTTATACACAATAAATGCACAATTATGCTACAAAATAACCCAACATGATTAAGTTTGATTGCACTTTTCATTTTTTGCAAATAGAATATTTACTAAATCAATGACTAAATTTAGTAATTTAAACTAAATTAATTACTCCTTTACAAAAAATAATTTATTTAAATAATATTTAAAAAATTGTATTTGTTGCAAATTTATTACAATTTTGTAGTATTTAATTATAAAACTTGAAATGTTTAAGAAAAATATTCTCCAATTACATAACAGAATATACAAGAATTTTAAAGAATATTTAATAAATTAAAAATCAAAAGATTTTTGTTTATTATATAAGATGATAAATGTTGTAATTAGATTGTTAGTTAAAAACATGTAAAGATTTCACATTTTTATGAAAATTTATGCTAAATTTTGAAACTTTAGTTTAAATTAAATAAAACAAAATAAAATGTCACTCAAATATTGATCACTATTTGGTCAGAGAAGATGGTATTGTAGTTATCGTATAGTATGTGTCGGACATCCCTTTTGCCACACTTTGATCACAGATTCTATACTATAATTACACCATTAGTTAGAAAAGTATGAAACAAATATTTATTTGAGATATTTGTTATAAAAATCAACACTAAATTCACATTATATTTACATTAAGATAACATTTGTTTTAACATTTTTAAACTTATATTTCTATTCATAATTAAAAGCCCAACAAAATAATGCTATAAATTAAATATATAAATAAATTAATTAATATTTAAGACTCTATACATTTACAATAAGAGAATATCCTAGCTTAATTCTAGGACCTAGCTTAATTATGCAGTATGTCATTCAATAACGTAATTCAAATGAATCACGAGTCATTATTTGACATCATTTATGTACATAATATAGTGTGAGTCAACTTACAGTAAATGAATCACTCGGAGTAAGCGTTGGATAAAACTAATTATTCCCAACAAAACGTTGGGAATATTTTAATTATTATGAATTAATTATTCATTTGTACGCAATTTATTGCAAATATAATTATTTTGACACAAAGTGTGGAAATTAGTATATTTTGTAAATAAAATGCACATTTAGTGTGCTTTGTATGGATTAATGGTGTGTTTGGATTGATTGGGGAATGTATTGCGGGAATGAGTGAACGCTTATCACAACACATAAGCATAGATTGTGTAGACTTTGTATTGCATAACACTATTGAATGGTTTGTTTGATTTGATTCACGATTTATTGAAACCACAATTGATTGAGTCGTGAATCGCAAAGAGACCACCACTTCAGACATCGCCTCCATCTCAAGACATCGGATCCGTTGCGACAGCGATAGAGAGCGTGTGAGTGGGCGCGGATGTGGTGAACCACTGGAGATCAGTTACAGTGACAGTGAATGCCATCTAATAAGACAATTGAGACGAAGAATGCGATTGCGGATCAAATGGATGACACAATTGACAACAAAAGCGACCATTTGGTGACAAACAAGTGTCTGAATGACGAGGAATTGTGCCAAACGGACGACCAGCTGATGGACAGCGCGAGGCTTGTCGTCGTCGACAGCGGATGCGATGACACGTCCGGTCAGACGATGACAATCGACGGCCAACTTGTGAGCGAAGGACACGAGTCGGCGGCGAAGGGCGAGACTCCGGAACCGATGCCGTATTGCAGTGGCGGCGGAGCCGCCAAAGAGCCAGTCCTGACGTATCAACTGAAATGGATTAATTGGGGATCCGTTAAGACACCGATCATAACCCAGAACCTGAACGGCCCGTGTCCTCTGTTGGCCATCATTAATGTCTTAATCCTTAAACGCAAAATACAATTGCCATCAATGATGGATGTGATCACTGATGATCAGCTGATGGAGTATTTGGGCGATTGTATTATCAGTAGTGTTCCTAAGGTTTGTATCCATTGTATTGATGTGTGAAATGTCTATGAAATGACACTAATGTCTGCAATGATGTGCCGAATGACCAGAATATTCCGGAAGGCGTTCAACTCAATTACGAGCAGAACTTTATGGACGCGATGCAGATATTGCCTAAACTGCCAAAAGGACTCGACGTTAACGT